TCTATATATATATATATATATATATATATATATATATACACACACACACACACATACATACATATACACACACACGTGTGTGTGTATGTATGTGTGTATGTGTGTTATGTGCCTGGGTGTTTTGCCTGCATAAATGTCTGCGCACCTCATGTGTGTGTGAAGGCCAGAAGAGGGTATCAAATCCTCAGGAACTAGAGGGCAGAGATGTGAACCTGGTCCTCTGCAAGAGCAACAAGTACTCCTTGCTGAGCCATCTCTGCATCTCCAGACTATGACACTTTTAAATATTCCTTCTAACTCTGAAAATAGCAGAGGGTCTAGTCAAAATTTTATAAAATGAAGTCAGAAGGGTTTTTGGAAAAACAAAACAAATAAGAAAAAAAAAAAACAGGAAAACAAACCTGGGAATTCATGTTTTCCTGCCAGTGGCCTCCCTCCTTTTGTAGGTAGGCTAGGAACAGCAAAAGTGTTAAAACCAGAGAATGGCTACGGTACACTCTGGAATACTCAGGGATTCAGTGTGTCTTTTTGAGGCACACAGTTCAAACTATAACCACATGTTGTTATTAGGTGTGCTCCTATGACGTATGTGTCCCTGTTCCCCATTGTAACATGTAAAACGACCGTTACATGGCTCAGAATTGGATAGAAGCAGCTGCTGTGGACTCATCAGGGGCCTCCTGGATGATGGGCTGGCCCAAGTAGAGAGTGGATTATCAACTGAGGGGTGACCATTTGTTTATGGAGACTTCTCTTTACTATACAATAATGATATTTTCTTGGTCTGGGAGTGTAGCTGAATGACAGAGTACTTCTCTGGTATGCATGAGACACTGGGTTTAACCTCAAGCACTGAAATTTTTTCTGTAAAAAATAAAAATCGGAGCCGGGTGGTGGTGGCGCATGCCTTTAATCCCAGCACTCGGGAGGCAGAGGCAGGCGAATCCCTGTGAGTTCGAGGCCAGCCTGGTCTACAAGAGCTAGTTCCAGGACAGGCACCAAAAACTACAGAGAAACCCTGTCTCGAAAAATAAAAAATAAAAAAAATAAATAAAAATCGGGGCTGGAGAAATTGCTTAGAGGTTAAGAGCACTGCCTGCTCTTTCAAAGGTCCAATTCCCAGCAATCACATGGTGGCTCACAACCATCTGTATTAATATCTGGTGCCCTCTTCTGGCCTGCAGGCAGACATGAAGGCAGAGCACTGAGAATACTGTATGCATAACAAATAAATAATAAATGTTTTTAAAAAATAAAAATAAAAATCATATTATGAATGCATCACAACCATTTATCTGTGACTAATCTCAATAACTTATGGAAAAAAACTTGAAGAATGGCATTTTATTGTATTTGATTGTCACAATCATTCTTTTAAGACAGATTGAAGCATTACCTTTAGTAGCAACAACCAGAAGAACCACGCCCACCTATTTATAGAATGTGTAAATAAACACTGTATATCCCTGTAGAGTGAATCTATTGTGCTTCCCGTAGTTAACTTTTATTTACCTATAGTAAGTTTCTGATGGCTGGGCTTTGTTCTATTCCCAACATATAAATTACTTAAATGAATCAACTGAAGAACATATCATCTATGAGATTCTATTGTTACCACTGCTTCATCATTCAGGGAAAAGAATAAAAAAAAGAGGAAACAAAACATCAACAACAATAACAAAAACAACAACAACAACAGCAAAAACAAAACAAAACAAAACAAAAAACCAGGGCATGGCTCTGGAAGGCACTGCTTGAGGCACTGGGGCCTGCTACTTTCATTGCCCCTTCAAACGTTCCCCCTGCTTTCAGTGTTAAATGACCTAGCTGACCAGAGGCCTGGCCTGGCTGACACGGACAGCTGATATTAGCCAGTGTGACTGCTCTGGATTAGGTGGTTACCAATGATTGCCTAATCAGTGCTTTCTCTATTGGCTCTGCATGGTGTAAGTGTGTATTCGTGGTGGAAGGCCAGTGAAGTCAGGATATGAAGCGCAGCACACATTCAAGGCCTCCAGAAGATAAACAATGTGAACAGTGCCTCCTGGGGGTGCACACTGCAGTAGCTCCTCTGTCACCCATACCTGAGGCTGGTGGGGAGACTGGAACTCGGAACCATCAGCTCTCCGTGGAGATTGCCTCCTGACTTTTCCCATCAGATTCACTCACTGCAAATGCTGGCTGTCGCTCTTCCCAGATGTGTTGGGGATGGATTGTTCGTATAGAATCCAAGTGGCTCAGGAGCTTTCCTGATGGAGAGACCTGGAAAAGCCAGCTGAATGTTCAAGATCACAGAGTGGGGCTGGAGAGAGAGCTCATCAGTTAAGAGTGAATACTGCTCTAGCTGAGGACCCAAGTTTGGCTCCCAGTACCTACACCAGGTAGCTCACAATTGCCTATAACTCCAGCTCCAGGGGGATTACAATGCCCTCTCCTGTCTTACTCAGATTCCTATGTGAGTGTGTGAACACACACACACACACACACACACACACACAGAGAGAGAGAGAGAGAGAGAGAGAGAGAGAGAGAGAGAGAGAAGTAAAATAAATCTTTTAAAAAATCATAGAGCAGAGGCTACAGCTTTGTTAAAACCCAGGACCCCTGCATTCTGAGCACTGTGGTGTGCTATGACTTGGGAGGAGGACACCCACGGTGGTGACTCCAGGAGGCTTTGAAAGATGCAACAACAGACAGAGTTTTGGGGTCCTGGGCCTGATGTCCTTAGGAAGTTCTGGAGGCTGCACTAGCTGTTCCCCGGGGCCAGCAGAGCTGCTCCCCAGGCAGAAGCCATGTATCAACCACAGGCACCTCTGCCGTGTTGATGGATTTTCCTGCCACTGGTGCTAATTTCCTGAAAGCCCTTCTCTCCCACCTTCAACCTCCCCGTCAAAAGGAGCAAGATCTCTAATACTCAGCAGCAACTTGGTGAGGTCACCACCGTGTTTGTCTACTAATTCTAACGACTAGAAAGGCTGGAAGTGGAAACAGCTCTGTAATAGTAGCTGGAGGGAGCTGAGGCCAGGGTCTTGTTCCCACAGGAACCATTTCCAGTGTACGGATGAGGAGAAGCAGGGTGTGGGAGGCAAGAGGCCTACCTGAGGATGGACCAAGGTCAGGCCCAGATAAGAACACAATGCTCCCCGATTCTGCCTAGAAGTCATGGGGACTCCTGCTCTATGGAGTAATATAGCCTTGGCCTAAGAGGTCTTTTAGGGCTCAGATAGACCCACACCCCCTGACTAATGGCTCCCCAAACAAATCCCAAGTTCAAGCCCCTTTGTCCACAAAGCTGGTGTTAGGAGATAAGAATCCAGTCTTGCTTAGTTTCCCTTGGGGTAGGGTAGGCAGCACCTGGCTCTGGCTGAACTCCCTCTTGGGGCTTTTCCTGGGCCTACAGGGTAGCAGTTGAAACTTCCAGGGGAGGATTAGAAAAGCCTTTAGATTAGAGTGACTGAGAGACCTCTGGACAGAGTGCCTCAGAGGCCATCCTGTATGGAGAGCTAGGGTTGGTCAGAGCTGACCTTCTGCCTTTACCCATGACTCCTTAGGAAAATAGTATATCCAAGAGCCTTCTTCAACTCCTGTTTGCTCTCAAATGCTCCCAAGTTCTAGCCCTGTGCTTTGTGAAGATGCTAGCTTCATCCTCTGAAGAATTAACTCACTGTCTATTCTGTCCACCCTCCTGTGGTCAACTCTCTCCTCTTCCGGTTCTTCTACGTACAATGTAACCTCCAAGATCTTTCTGGAAAGTAACTGTGCCTAGGGCATGTTCCTGTTGTGGTCCCCAGTGCTTCAGAGCAGAGTCTATGCCTCCTTCAGCCTTACGGGCCTGGCGCACCAACTGAGCCACACCGCTGAAAACCCTGCAAACCCTGCCTCAAGACATCTGCTCCTGCTGCTCCCTCCAACTGACCCAGCTTCCCTCCTTCCTCAGGCCCAGCCCCCACCCTTACTTGTCTTTACTAGTTCTTCTAAACGCTCCTTCTGACTCCCTAACCCCACCCAAGTTAGGTGGTTTCCTCTGTGGTCCCATAACCTTCCCGCTGACCCATTCTACCGTCCTCCGTGCCCAGACGCTGTCAGTGGCCATCCAGGATAAGAATCTGGTCTGCTGCTGCTACCTTCCAAGTGCCTAGGCGCTGTTCTGTGCCAGCTCTGCTTGTCCTCAGCTTCGTCCTCACTCTCTGTCATTTAACAACTTCTGTTTCTTTCCTTCACCCACTGATGTTCTTGGCCAGCTGTTTTATTGTCTCTTCATCTGTTTCTGTTTCTTGCCTCATTCCCCACCCATGAATTTAATCTTGCTCTAGTAAGTGCTCCAGGTGGTCTCGTTGTCACCGTGTGTTCATCGATCATCTCCGTGCCCGTTTCTCACAGGCATTGATTCCTCTCTGTACAGTTAACGGCACTTGCACGTGGAAAGGCGTCTCAAACTCTTCAATATAAGCAATCCTCTCTTCCCCAAAGAGTCTGGACCCACTAGACCCAAGGGAGATCTCTGAAAAAGGGCAGACACTGAGCCCTTTCCCCACTGAGGCCAATCTGAGGGGGAGTGTGGACACAGAAAAGACCACTGTATCCAGGACTAGTCAACGGCCTCAGCTTCTCTAGCCCAGGCCCTTGTAGCACCCGTAGGGAAAGGGGGGCATTGCACAGCAGAGGCTCCCTAGTCAGCCCAGCTGTAGTCCTTCCTCCTAAATCCTCTCCCCAGCGCCTACCATTGTATGTCTTAGGCATTGGGTCCATCACTCTAGGGCCTCACTGTGTCCATGAGCAGCTGCAAAGGTGTGTTAGAGGGACTCTGAAGTGTTTGGTACTCCACCCCAGCCCCCACTGTTCCTTCTTCCAACTCCTCTTTACATGATGCTTGCCTGGATCTCAGGTTTTTTTTTTTTTTTTTTTTTACCTGTCTGTGGTCTAAATTAAAAGCCCTGGAGCCTCTGCCCTTGCACCCTGCAGACGCCTGAAGGTAAGATCTAATCCCTTGGGGGTCGCCCAGAGCCTATACTTAGGTGAACGATTTGTGTTATTCAGGGCAGGGACCTAGAGGAGGAGGGAAGTTCATGCATTAGCTTAGCCGAGTGGAGGACCTGCTCACCTCACTACAGGAGGAACACGAACCCAAGGTGGGTTTCCAAAGTCTGGAATTGGTCTGGACACTGTTAACTCAGACCCTGAGAAACGGCAAGGGTCCCGAGAAGGCTAGAATTCAGCCAGACACCAAACACCTCACTGGCAGTCTAAGATTTGGGTTGTACGGTTTCAATTTTCTAGCTGCTGCGGGGCGAATTGATGACCGGCTCCGAGGCACACTCGGTGGGAGGCCCAGGAGTCCTCGCAGCGGGGCCAACCCTCTTGCCTCGCCACCAGTCGCTGTGAGTTCCAGGCCTAGGCGCCCTTGAGTCCGCCTGGGCTCTGGACAAGAGCCAGCGACAAGATCCATCACTGAAGTTGGCAGGAGGCCCGACGGCGCGTCCCCTGGGGGCTCCCAGGCTGCTGGCGCAGTCGGTGTGCAGGGAGGGCTGAGACCCGCTCCGGGGAGCGGGAGCCTGGGGCGTGAGGAGGAGCTAGCCACACCGCTGAGGGGCCTGTGGTCAGCGGGAACGATGGAAAAGCCGCGTCCTCCGCACTAATTGACTCTTCCCAGCCTCCTTGACTGGTAATTGCTGCTTCGGGTATAGAGGTGTCGGAGAAGAAGGGGGCGCTGCTTCCTGAGGCGGAAGCCTGAAGTCAGGCTCCAGCCCCAAGGTGTACTTTTCTGGACGCGTGCGCGCTAGGCAGGCGCTGTCTTGGTACCTCTGAGTGTTCATCCCTGCGGGGTTGGCCCGCAAAGGTAAAGAGAGGGGAAGAGGTTGTAGGCAGGGTGGTAGCTACCCAGCTATGCGCGCTGGGAAGGAGCTGGTGAAAGACAGCATTTTCTTGGACGGATGGGAAGGATGTGGAGCCAGCATTCCACCTGGCTCTCTTCCAGGTTGCCCACTGGAATTCTGTGTTGGAACCCCAGGGGAGGTCGAAGGTCCTAGGGTTTCCCGTAGTCCTTTATTATTCTGTCGGACACGGCCATGCTGTGAAGTCTGGACTCTTGTTTCTGCTCAGCTGTAGTTCTCTAATTTGGAGGATAAACACCCTTTCTTACGTCTGGGTAAAAATGCCTAAAGAGGGATTTTGAAGGAAAATCAGACTGAGTGCGGTGAATCATGTGAGCAATCCCAGAACCTTGGAGGCGAGGATTGCTAAGGGGTCAAGATCAGCCCCAGTTCCCTAATGAGTTCTAGGTCAGCTTGGACTGCAATATGAAACCCTATCTGAAAACCAGAATAAATAGGAGCTGGAGAAATGACTCAATGGTTAAGAGCACATTTTGCTCTTGCAGAAAACCCAGGTTCAACTCCCAGCATGTGGCTCCAACCACCTGTGTTTCCAGTTTCAGGGATCCGATACCCTCTAGCCTAGTGAAGTCACCAGGCTAGACTAGAGTAGACTCTCACCCCTACACACACACACACACACACACACACACACACACACACACAGAGTCACATGGTGTACTTACATACTTGCAGGCAAAACATTCATTTGCATAAAAATGAAATCTTTAAAAAATAGAATAAATAAAAAATTAAAGCTCAGGGAAGGCAGGTAGCCTTCATTCCAGGTCATTGAAATAAGCATAGGACCTTTGCGATGGGATTTCACAGTGAGGAAGAGAAAGATTTGGCTCAAATCCCAATATAGCATAGCTGAGTGGGAACTTATAATCAAGAACAGTGTGGCAATGCGTGAAAAAAATTACTAACAAGAAGCATTAGCTTCTTTTAGAAGCATTAGCTTCTTGTTAGAAGTATCTGACAATTTTTATGAAAAATTTAAAGACAATTATTTAACGTGTGTGGGTGTCTTGACTGCATGTGTCTGTACAGCACTTGGTTCTTGCGGAGGCCAGAAGAGGGCATCAGGTCCCCTGGAACTGGAGGCAGAGATGGGTGTGCTGGGAACCCGACTTGGGTCCTCTGGCAAAGCAGCCAGTGCTTTTAAATACAGAGCCAACTCCGCAGTCCACTTATCTAACAGGTTTGGCTGAAGACAGGCCCAGGTGTTCAGACATCACCCGGAGGATGTGTGGGATGAGGGACTCCATTAGTTACGGAGGGAGATCAGAAACTGAGTTGGAGCTGGATATCTGCTTAAACTGTCTTGCTAAAGTTAGACGTGGTTGAAACATACACAGAACCTTAAAAAGTCTGTCCTCCTTGAAAAAAACTAGGAGGAGCCTGAATCAAATCAATGAAAATACCGTTTTTTGGGTTTTTTTGTGTGTGTATGTGTGGAAACATTACACAGATATGTGTAGTTACATTAGTCACAATAATCAAGAGGTGGAAACAACTTAAATCTTTTTTTCTTAAAGATTTATTTATTTAGTTGGGTGGTGGTGGTGCACACCTTTAATCCCAGCAGTTGGGAGACAGAGGCAGGCAGATCTCTGTGAGTTGGAGGCCAGCCAACTACAAGAGCTAGTTCCAGGAGAGGCTTTAAAGCTACAGAGAAACCCTGTCTTGAAAAACTAAAAAACTAAAATTGAAAAAAATTATTTGTTTATTATGAATACAGTGTTCTGCCTGCATGTGTGCTTGCACACCAGAAGAGGGCACCAGATCTCATTCAAGTGGTGGTGAGCCATCATGTGGTTGCTGGGAATTGAACTCAGGATGCCTGGAAGAGCAGTCAGTGCTCTTAACCTCTGAGCCATCTCTCCAGCCCCCAACATAAATCTTTTTTTCTCTTTTAAACAACTGAAATATCTGATGGATAGAAAAATACATAAAATAAAACAAAATTGCTACATTCAACAATATGGATGAACTCCATAGACATTATGATATCAGGCTAGGCATGAAAGGACGAAAGTATGAGCTTACTCTATAAGGAATCTGAAAGAGTCAAATTCCTGCAGACAGAGAGTGGGGTCCAGGACCTCGAGAGATGGCTCAGCAGAGCACTTGGTCACTTGCTGCCCTTCCAGAGCACTCCACTTTCCAGAACCCCAGTCAGGTGGCTCACACCACTTATATGAAACTCCAGCTCCAGGAGATCTGGCATCATCCTCTGGCTTCCACGGGTACCCATACATACGCAGCATATGCACATATACATACACATAACTACAAAGCTAAAGCAAATCTTTAAAAAAGAAAGCAAGAGACTGCAGAAGTATCTCAGTGGATAAAGGTGCGAGCCCACAATCCCAAAGGAGAGAACCAACTCCCGAAAACTGTATTCTGACACAGCAAATATGGTGAGGACAAGTTCCTATTCTCCCCCTTGCTGAAAAACCATTAGATTAAATTTCTAAAGCTAGTCCCCAAGGACCATTCCCTTATTTAGCCACTGACTCATTCCTCAGACAAAATACTAAGATCCAACACTCAAAATTAATTATTTGGCTAACATGTCCAATCAGGATTTACCAACTCGCCCTAGACAGATTACCCCCTTTTTTCCTTAAAAACCTGGTCTTGCTGGGTGATAGTGTACCATGCCTTTACTCCCAGTCCTTGGGAGGCAGAGGCAGGTGGATCTCTGAATTTGAGGCCACCCTGGTCTACAGAGCAAGTTCCAGGGAAGCCAAGGCTATACAGAGAACACCTGTCTTGAAAAACCAGTCAACCAACCAACCACCAAATCAATAAACAAACAAAAACAAAAACAAGAAACAATCCCCAAGCAAGCAAACAAGCACTCACTCCTGAGAAAACCTCCTCCGTGCTTGCTGCCGCTGCCGCTGCCTGCCTTTGCAGCCCATCTCCCTTTTCCTCTCTAGGGTAAAAAAATCTCTTTTGTGCTGAGAATTTGGTGTCTGGGTGTGTCTGAGGGGGCTACCTCCTTTATAAACCACCACATCCGGCACTAACTGAATTTTTGCACCCTCGGTGACTTTGCTTCAGCCTTTCTAGCAAGTACAGCCCAAGAAGCAGCAAGCAGCAACACGTTATTACTCTAAGGGAAACTGAGGCAACATCCATTTCACCCATTCATTTTACAGAGAGAGAAACTGAGGATGAAAAGAACCTATTTTTATTGAGCATCATCCCTAGGTACCGGCTTCTGAAGGGCCCCAGAGGAGATGTGTGTGGGTAGCGAACAGATCCCAAGCCATCAAAGCTTTGCCCATGCCATGGATAGACTGTCCAGGTCCTCGAGGCCAGCATGAGCAGGCAGGTGGCAGGGTGCAGTGACAGAAAGTGACGATCTGTGTGGACTTTCCATAAGAGGGGGCTGAAAACACATCATGAAGGGTGAGAGGGCCTGGAAAAGAGAGAGAAGAGATTATCCTGAGGCTGAGGTGGCAGGGAGCAGAACACAG